GGATGTATTCCCAGAAGTGGGATTGCTGGATCATATGGTAGTTATATTTTTAATTTTTTGAGGAACCTCCATGCTGTCTTCCATAGCAGCTGCACCAATTTATATTCCCACCAACAGTGCACAACAGTTCCCTTTTCTCTACATCCTCCCCCACCAGCATTTGTTATCTCTTGTCTTTTTAATCTTGGCCCACTAACAGGCATGAGGTGATACCTCATTGTGGTTTTGGTTTGCGTTTGATGATTAGTGGTGTTGAGTGCCTTTTCATGTACCTGTTGACCGTTCATATATGAGTATCTTCTTTGGAGAAATGTCTGTTCAGGTCCTTTACCCATTTTAATATTGAATTGTTTGTTTGTTTGTTTTGGCTAATGAGTTGTATGAGTTCTTTATATAGTTTGGATATTAACCCCGCATCCAGATAAATCATTTGCAAATATTTTTTCCCATCTCATAAGTTATCTTTTTATTTTGCTGATCATTTCTTTGCTGTGCAGAAGCTGTTTAGTTTGATGGATTCCCACTTTTTATTTTTGGTTTTGTTGCTTGTGCTTTAAGTGTCATATCCAAAAAATCATTGCCAAGACCCATGTCAAGAAGCTTTTTTTCCCGTGTTTTCTTTTATGACTCTTACATTTAAGTTTTTAATTCATTTTGAGTTAATTTTTCTGACTTGAGTGATGTATGATAGGTGTCTAATTTTATGACACAAAAGCCTTTTGTTGGTGTTTCTATATGTATACTCTGGCTTTCTGTGCTTTTAGATGTAATTTTGCTTATTTATCCTCATTGACTATTTTTCTCTCTCTTTTCCTGATGTCATTATGTATATGTTGACGTACTTTTTTTCTTTTTCATACAACTTCATGTACATCAGTCCTTTCAGTGGCAATAGAGGCAATCACTGCTGTGAATTGTTACCATCAACTTCAGTAGGCCTGTAATTTAGAGGACATGGTGGAAATGAAGCTGCAAAGAGAATGTAACATGTTCACTTTGGATGGGCCATTGTCTCTGTGTGGCTCCTAGGAGGACTGAATGAATGGGAACTGTCCAGTAAGTAGATCACCAATGACCTGCCCAGGACTACGGACCATTCTGTGAAGGCAGCTAGGACTGGATGAGGTGGAGGTGACAGAACACCTTCTTGTCCTTGACTATCATCCTGGAGGTGTTCATCCCACAGAAGAATAAAAAGCCAGCTTTGTGGAGTTGTGGGCAAGATAAAGTCACATTTTGCAATGACATGGGCACATGTATTTTGAACAGGATCAGGATCAGAAATGAAAATATTTAGGGCACACAGAAGGAAAAGGGATACAAGAGTTGATGCTTGTGTCTGTATATCCATTTTGTGTTTAAGAGTGGATGCATAGTAATTGGCTTATGGTAGCAATTTTGAAATACATGTATTTATATATAGTAAACTTAAAAAAATCCTACCTACGTTTTTTGACTGATGACAAATTCTATTTATTGACTGACTTCCTTTTCCCACCAAGAACATCTTGCCTCTGAGCCATTATATTATACATTTTTGTATTATATGGTCAATTAAAAATTTAGTTTAAGTCTTGAATAAAAAGGAAGGTAATATATATTCATTTACCAGTTATTCATGATTTCAGAAATTGTCCAAGTTGACTTACCCACAGCCTCTTCTCCATTAAGGCAGTATGATCCATAGAAAATTTTAAATTCTAGAATAGTTGCACTCTATTTCTATTTTATTTATTTATTAAAGTATATTTTATTGATTATGCAATTACAGTTGTCCCATATTTTTCCTTCCGTTTACCCCCCTCTGCTCTGCATCCCCTCTCCCTCTAGCATTAACTCCCACCTCCTTAGTTCATGCCCATGGGTCATACATATAAGTTCTTTGACTTCTCCACTTCCTATACTATTTTTAACCTCCCCCTGTCTATTTTGTATCTACCAACTCTGCTTCTTATTCCCTGTATCTTTTCCCCCCTGTCTCCCCCTTCTCCCTCCCTGCTGATAGCCCTCCATGTGATCTCTATTTCTGTGATTCTGTTCCTGTTCTAGTCATTTGCTTAGTTTGTTTTTGTTTTTGTTATTTAGATTCAGTTGTTGATAGTTGTGAGTTTTTTGTCCTTTTACTGTTCATAGGTTTGATCTTCTTCTTTTTCTTAGATAATTCCCTTTAACATTACCTGCAATAAGGGCTTGGTGATAATGAACTCCTTTAACCTGACCTTATCTGGAAAGCACTTTATCTGCCCTTCTATTCTTAATGATTGCTTTGCTGGGTAGAGTAATCCAGGTTGTAGGTTTTTGCTTTTCATGACTTTGAATACTTCTTTCCAGCCCTTTCTTCCCTGTAAGATTTCTTTTGAGATATCAGCTGCTAGTCTTATGAAAACTCCTTTGTAAGTAACTCTTTCCTTTTCTCTTGCTGCTTTTAAGATTCTCTCCTTATCTTTAATTTTGGGTAATTTAATTATAATGTGCCTTGATGTGTATCTCCATGGGTCCAACTTCTTTGGGACTCTCTGAGCTTCCTGGACTTGCATGTCTATTTCCTTCACCAGATTGAGGAAGTTTTTCTTCATTATTTGTTCAAATATGTTTTCAGTTTCATGCTCTTCCTCTTCTGACACCCCTATGATTCTGATGTTGGAATGTTTAATGTTGTCCCAGAGGTTCCTCAGCCTCTCATTTATTTGAATTCTTGTTTCTTCATTCGGTTCTGGTTGAATGTTTATTGCTTCCTTTTGTTCCAAATTGTTGATTTGAGTCCTGGTTTCCTTTTCTTCACTGTTGGTTCCTGTATATTTTTCTTTATTTCTCTTTGTTTAACCTTCACTTCTTCCTTTATTTTGTGGCCATATTCCGTCATTTCTGTGAGCATCCTGAATACCAGTGTTTTGAACTCTGCACTGGTAGGTTTGTTTTATCCTCCTCCCTTAGTTCTTTTACTAGAGTTTTGATCTGTTCTTTCATATTTCTTTGTGTCGGCATACCTGTTATGTTGTAAGGGATGGAGCCTTAGGTATTCGCCAGGGTGGGGCCACCCACTTAGCTGTGTGGTGGCGCTGAATGTGGGGGAGGGGTCAGAGAGGGAACAATGCCCGCTTGCTTGGTTCTCGCCCCACTTTCAGTCACTTTCCTTGCTTCCAGCAAGCGGATTGTGCCCTTTCAGGTCCTCGTTCCCAGTTGAGTGGGCTTGTGTATGTTCTAGAATACCCTGGGCTCCTCCAACAGACTCTCCAGTAAGACTGGGAGTTTCTCCTCCTGCTGCAACCCCCACAGGTTTTATAGCCAGAGGCTTGAGGCTTTAGTTTCCCACGCTGGAACCCTGGGTTGTGGGGTCTGTCTCGCTCCCCAGTTATTCCTTCCGGTTTATCTGCATGGGAATGTGGTACGACCCAGCCTACCAGCTGCCTCTTCGTCCACCCCACCCATCAGCCAGTGCCTTGCCATGTGTCCCAGTTGCCCTGGCTTCCCATTTCCACCCCTCCTGCCAGTCTGGATGAATGTTTCTTCTTTAACTTCTTGGTTGTTGGACTTCCATGTAGTTCAATTTTCTGGCAGTTCTGGTTGTTTTTTGTTTTTAAATTGGTGATTGTCCTTCTTTTAGTTGTGCAGGGAAGCGAAGCATATCTACCTATGCCTCCCTCTTGACTGGAACTCTTATTTCTTGAGACTGCTATGGCAGCCTTCTGCTAATATTGTTTGGGGGTGTTCTCAGAAACTAAAATACATTTTGATATTTTTCCAAGCAAAACACAATTTAAGACAAATCTACTACCAAAATCACATCTATTAAAGTAAAATAAAAATTATTTGGACATTTTCCATATTGTTTCTCCCTTCCATTGGTACTAATAATCAAGAACTAACTATATGTATGAAATCAACCTTCAATCATTTGTCCAAAGCCAGTAATTGCAACTAAAGGCCAACATTAAAGACAATTGATGATATGCTTTCTGTTCACTATAGAAAGAGAGTTTACATGAAATAAAGTAGGCAGGTGGGTAAACCTTGAGTACTTCTTGAGCCATGCAGGCATGATTCTTCATGTTTGCAGATATAACTGTATATGTGTTATGATGTATACTCTTTTTTGGAAGTTAGACTTGACTGGTTTATAATGCTTATGTCAGGTGTCATAGGCTTTATTCTCCCTTGAGTGAATGTTTATGTACAATTATGGTTTTTAGGATTAGTATTGAAACAAAAAGTTTGAAATTGAAGAGTCAAATGGTGAAGGCATTTATAACAGAATTACTCTTGGAAGGTTAAAACAATCTACTGTATTTAAATACGCTGTCATCTCTATCAAAGTACTTTCTGAAAACACATTTTAAGTATTTATCCTTAAAACTTCTCTTTTGTGTATTCCTAAGCACGATTGAGGGTGCTTAGGCAACTGGTATTTACACCAAAATCACTCTATATTGAATTGAATTTGATGAGAAATGTATCTATTTCTGATACGTGTCCAATTCTATTTTCAGAGAGGCCAGAATTTGTTACAAGTGTCAGAGAGAAAATCACTATATCTAGCTATCCTCAAAGTGCCCTGGAGGGTATTTTACACTGTTAAGACTCTTAATTCCTTCTTTACCATCATATCTGTGGGCTGAAAAAGCTAAGCATGGAGATAACACTTTTCTGTCCTGCAGGCAGAAATGTGTGAAAAGATGAAGGGGATTTAACCTTTTTAAGTTTCCTGCTTCTAATCATTGAAGCTCAGAAAATTCCATGAAGCACTTTTCAGTAGAACTCTTTACTACATTAGAATCTCTTTTTTTCCTTTGCAGACCCCCCATGTGACCTTTTCAAATATGTGTCTGAAACAGAGAGTTATATGTAGAAAATGCCTGGAAGATTTCTTGCTCCTGTCACTGCTTTTCCTGCCTTTTCACATTCCTGCCTGATTTGGATGATGTGATATTCCGAAGGACACCTTAATCGAAGTCGTTCTTCAACAAGACACATCTGGCCAAAGATTGTATAGATACTTCAAGATGGCTAGTCAACCACCAGAAGATGCCGCAGAGTCCCAGGTCCCGGATGAGCTCGAGTGTAAGATTTGCTATAATCGATACAATCTGAAACAGAGGAAACCCAAAGTGCTGGAGTGTTGTCACAGGGTTTGTGCCAAATGCCTCTATAAGATTATAGACTTTGGGGACTCCCCTCAAGGTGTCATCGTCTGCCCTTTCTGCAGGTTTGAGACATGCCTGCCAGACGATGAAGTTAGTAGCCTGCCTGATGACAACAACATCCTTGTGAACTTGACTTGCGGAGGCAAAGGCAGGAAGTGCCTGCCAGACAACCCCACTGAGCTGCTGTTGACCCCCAAGAGGCTGGCCTCTCTCGTCAGTCCTTCTCATACTTCCTCCAACTGTCTGGTTATAACCATCATGGAGGTGCAGCGAGAGAGCTCCCCATCTCTGAGCTCCACTCCTGTGGTAGAATTTTATAGGCCTACAAGTTTCGACTCTGTTACCACTGTGTCACACAACTGGACTGTGTGGAACTGTACCTCCCTGCTGTTTCAGACATCCATCCGGGTGTTGGTTTGGTTGCTAGGTTTGCTCTACTTCAGCTCCTTACCCTTAGGGATCTACTTGCTGGTCTCTAAGAAGGTCACCCTCGGGGTTATCTTTGTTAGCCTCGTCCCTTCGAGCCTTGTTATCCTGATGGTGTATGGTTTTTGCCAGTGTGTGTGTCATGAATTTCTAGACTGTCTGGCACCATCTTAATCAATATGCAAACTAAGAAATTTGACACACATTGCCATGTTTCAAGTTAGGTCATTTCTCATTTATTTTCTTTTATATTCTCTATGAGCAGCATTCATGACATTAAGCCATTGGCCACATGTCTGTGATCCATTTTCCATCAAATGTTGGCAAGTTGGTTTTCCTGTATGCTGGAAGTACAAATGTTCACTTCTATTTAGGTGTTAGCAAAGAAGCAAAGATGTGTAAGCTAAGTGAGTCATCTCAGAGAAAGGGCAGGACTTCTCTCAGCCCTACTAGACAGACACTGAGGAGCTGTGTTGGACTGCAGCCGAGGTCTTTGTGGAAGGTTGGGAAGGCACTGATTCCTCTTCTCGTCATTGTTGGTAATCTGTGATGGAGGGTACACACGAGAGGAGAGCGGTTCCAAGACATGTCCATTTGGAGAGGTACACTCCCTGCCCAGCTCTGTGGTTGCAGTGCCCCTGAATCCCCTTCCACTGTTTTATGTTAGTGCGGCTTTCTGTGGGCAGTTACTCCAGTTGAGGTGCTTGTTCCCTTTGCACTTGCTCCCTAGTCAAGAGGAAACGGCCTCAATCCCTTTTGTGGCTTTAATTAAATATCTGTTTTGCCACAATACTAAAGAGAATTAAAAACACTAAGCCATTTGCATCAAAGTAAACTTTATGCCAGTATGGCCACTTGTCTTTGAGACACACCCTTTCCCCATATTTATTTTCTTCTGTCTTCTGTCTTCTCTGAAATTCTCACAGAGTAGTCATTGCTTCTGGAAATCTTCATTTGCATCTTTACTTAAAATGTTTTAGTTCAGTTTTTTCTTAAAACCACATTGTTCAATTAGTCCCATTCCTTATCCTGAATGAAGTTTCATTTAAGTTAGTTGCTATAAGTTTATGAGGATTTTGGTTTTTTCCTCTTGTATTTTAAATTCTACTGTGAACTTACTTATCTTAATCCTATAACAATTGGAGGTAAATTGTGACAGTGGAAACACAGAAACAATGAATGAGATGGTCTGGTTCACAGTTTGACATTCTGAGAACCTCAACATTTTGCTTTACTATACTAACTAAATTATAATGGTTTAGGTTTATATGCAAGACTGTGTTACAATAGGCCAGGCAAAAGGATGGGCAAAAAATGCAGAAAGCTGATGCCCTGCTTGAAAAGACCCTCCGAGGAAGTAAAATGAAGGTGGTGGAGGCCATTTTAGAATGGATTCAAGTCCTTACACGATTTATTTCAAATACACATTTAAGCTTTTTTCATGATGTAGGGGAAGTTGAATGTATATATTCGTGAGAGGAAATTATTTAGCATTTTTTAGGTTCGAGGGGATATAATGTCCACAGAAACCAGAGAACAAAAGGCTTACTAGTCTCTAAAACCCATACTGACGATTAACATTAAAATATTTATAACTCTTAGAAAGGGACATTATTACTAAGACAACTTTAGTTTGTTTGTGATGAAACATTTGTTGTGTGGTATAGTTGCAGTGGACCAGTTCCAATCTCCTTATTCAGGAAAAATTGACACCTATTTCTAGAATCGTAGTTTGATTTTATATTACTATTAACTTTGAGAACATATATATATATATGCCCAAGATAAGTATGGCAGAAAAATATATGTGGGATGTGGTCCAATGAATTTAAGCCTCAAGACCCAGATAAATACACTTATGATTTCATAAAATCTTCTTTAGATAGCATTGTGAATGCAATTTTCAGAAGTCTGTTTGTACTTAGAGTAAATACACGGTTAGGAAATGTTTTGTGGTTTGGATTTATATATTTATAAGGTTTTTTAAAGAAATGTTCATTTTGTCTGAACAAAAATGATGTTAAATTTGATATTAGAGATGTAACATCTTATAAATTGGTGAGTTGTATGATGAAATTTCTAGAAAGCTATGGACATGGATACTATGCATTTTGCTTATTTGTATAATGTCTGCAGTTTTAAACCTGTATCTCTGTGTATTGTGATAGTCTCTTTTTGTTGTTGTTGCTAGTAAATTGATTTGGTTGTAAAAAGTTTTAATGTATGACAACAAAAACTTTATGCTGTTGAATGAAAAAAGGACAATGTTTCAATATTTTATTTACTGCGATGTTTTGTTTGTCCATTAAATTGTTACTGTTTTCACACTAGAAGTTTGATTTCTCTGACTCACGGCTGGGAGTTAATGGTTAAGTAGGACCTCTGTTTATGTTAGATAACTGCAACCTTCCAGAAGTGCTGATTCAGCTAATACCTTTCATGTGAAGATTTCAGACCCTTCAACAGTGCTGATCTAATTTAACCCATCCCACTTCTAAAAGGCATTCGTACAAAATAGAAGAAAAAGCAGGGGAGAAAAATTAGGGAAGGTGAAACAAAAATACTGTCTTCATCTTTAAATACATTTTTCAGTTTTAATTTATTTTGATTTGTTTTCCAGATTTTGCCTAGCTGCTCAACAAACGAGAATCCATTCTGGTCAGGGAATCACTAAGTTCATGTGGTCTGGGCAAATTTTAAAAAATTACCTGGTATCTAAATATGACCACTTTTAGACAAAATAGAAATAATTTAGAGTACGCAGCAGTTACATGCTTATGCTAAATAGTGAATTGGTACAATATATTAACCAAGAGTTATGATTCATTCACTTCCAAATTTTTTACGTAAACCAGCAAAGAATAGGGTTAAGGAAAGTAGTTACCTGTGCTAGTTATAACATGAATGGAACTCATGCTCATCTGCTGAGTGATGGCCCTAAGTGATGAGCATTTTGCCTGGCTGTACACAGATAGTAGGCCTCAGAGACACCCTGAGTTGGAAGAAATGTCCTAACATGTCAACCAGGTTGACTCGGAAGCTAAAGGGACCCTGTGTTGATAGGTAGCTGAGTTAGCAGTTATATAAGCTCTATGACCCCGGGGGCACAGGAAAGGTGTAATGGAGGTGAACTATAATTCTATGTGTCTCTGCATTTTCTGAAATGTGTTTGTTTTGCACACTCCTCTTGGTAAAATTACTTTTTACCAAGACAATTACTTGCCTTGATTTTTCTAAAACACCACAGAATCACTACATTTTATTCTAGAACTTTTCTGAAAGCTTGAAAAAGTTTAATCAATTGCTTTTCAGGCTTGAGTCCTAAATGTTTTCCACTTCTCTACTCCTTTGATGTTACATCTTTTTGCCTTAAATCCTTTATGAATTCTTACACCTCTGTGAGAAATCTGAGGCTTAGTATTGAGTCTTCTCTTATAAGTTTACTTTTGTGTAAAGAGATTTTTCTTTTTTAAAAAAGAAGAATGTAGATAACTAAACCTTGAAATTTGAGTAAATTCCAAGTGAGTTCTCAGGCAATACAGATTCAGCTCAATTGCTTATATACCATTTAAATCTTGGTATAATCCAAATCTAAGTATACTCAGTGTATAGGATTTATGGTTTTAACATGAAAGTGCTTTAAATTTAGGGAAAAAATAAAAAAATTAAATTATGTCCTGAATATTGTGTACACTAAGTAGGGATATGTGTGAATGTATTTTTAAAAGTAGTTGAACCTTAATTTAATTAAAGCATTCAATTACTTGGAGCAATTTTATTAATCAGGAGTGTATTAGACTTGCAACACCTTAACATTTCCCCTTTAAATTGAGATGGTTGGGATTTTATAAAAGAATGATCTCTGATTTAGTAGGTGGTTTTAGACCCTGGTTTGTCCATGAGGTGCGATGCTTTAGGTAAGAAGTTTCTTTCTATGTTCAGATCCACTTGCCTCAGATAAATGATCTGGCCTGAAGAGTTACATTTGGGAGTCTCTGGTGTTTCAATAGCCATTGAAGATAAGGGAGTAGAGAAGTGGAGAGTGGGAGGAAACAGAGTGCCAAGGCAGAGCTCTCTCAAACTGTAACTTTGAATGACTGGTAGAGGCACGGGCAAAGGGACCGCGTTGGATCAGCCAGAGTTCGAGGAAAGTGAGGAATGGAAACTGGAGCGTGTGTGGTCCCCAGAGCCCAGAGAAAGGAGGCAGAATTAGGATCATTAGATGAACGCAAATGGGAGAAGATTTCAGATTAGTTTACTTAAAAAAAAAAATAAAGGTTTTTAAAGATTTATCATATGCATGAAGATTTCAGAACCTTCAACAATGCTGATCTAACCTAACCCATCCAACTTCACGAAGATTTCCAAATATACAGGAAACTTGAGAGAATCATTTAATTGTCACTGGTACAGTTAGCACTGGAGTCACAGTTAACCTTTCACTATATTTTTTTCTCCCCTAAAAATAAAAGCCATTATCTAATTTGACTATAATGTTATTATATCTAAGATAATTAAAAATATTTTCCCAGCCCTGGTCCATGTGGCTCAGTTGGTTGGAGCATTGTCCCGCGCTCTGAATGGTCATTGGGAGGTCAGGGCACATGCCTGGGTTGGGGGCTTGATCCCCAGTTGAGGGGTGTGCAGGAGGCAACCAATCAATGTTTCTTTCTCTCTCCCTCTCTCTCTCTCTACATATATATTCCTAATATTATTTAATATGCTTCTACTCAAATATTTCAAATTGTTCCCAAAATATCTTTCTTTCATAGTTTAAAACCCAAAACACAAACCAGAATCTAGTCAAGCTTCACACATTTTACTTGGTTGTTAGTATTTTATTGTCTTTTATTCTGGAATAGACACTACACCTTGTTTCTCCCATGACATTGACTTCTTGAAGAAAGCAGGCCAGTTATCTTGTGCAGTGTCCCACATTCTGGATTTGTCTGTTTCTTCATGGTGTTTAATTACTTCTATCCCTTCTATTTCCCATAAATTGAAAGTTAGGTCTAGAAGTATGAGTTGATTCAAGAAGTTTTGAGCAAGAACTTTTCTTAGATGATGCTACGTACTTAGTACTGCATCATATCAGGAGCCATGAATGAAGGATTGCTCTGTCATTCCAGATCTTGCCTGATCACTCGGGACGGTGAGCTCCAGTTCTCTCCACTTCCCCAGTATAATTAGCAAGTAATCTGCGGGGTGGTTCTTTGGCACCATGCAAATATCATCTTTCCTAACCATTTTTACCTGATGCTCTTAGCATCCAATGATGATCTTTGCCTGAATCGATTATTTAATTTTCCAAAGATTCAGAATGTGTTATTCTGAAGGTTTTCAAAAGGGGGTGATCTAGTAAGTATAGGAGCCTACACCTGTCTAACGCTTTGGCAAAGCTTACAGTTGGAATGCCTC